ACATATGTGCTTCAGTATTACAGATAAAATAATTACTTTGTTATATTTAGATATTAGTTATTAGTGTGTTTTTCAAAGGGACTTTTGAGATAAAAGCCCAGCTGTAATTCTCAGAGACAAGCTGGGCACACCATGCTCCTGGCTCTCACTGAGTGGCAGGCTTCCAAATAACTGAGACATTTCTGAAAATGTCATTTGAAGCCTCTTGCTAATTCGCTCATTATTCCTCTACTCATAAGAATAAATATTATTTTTCCAATATTACAGGTGAAGTGAGTGTGCAGGGACCTTAGAGAGAAGGGCTTGATTTTCACATTTTTTAAGTTCCTGTGACCCTAAACATGTTATTTGCTGTCCTGTACCTCGGTGCTCCTTCCCAACTGAATATATTGTGCTGTCCTAATTTTAACTTTTATTCTTCCCATTTGGCTACAGCCACTCTGCAAGGATTTCCTCCCCAGGTCTGGCCAAGGAAAATGCTCTCCTAATTGAAACCTCCAGTCACTTACCTACAGCCCAAAATCCTGACAAGAGCCACTGCTAGATAGAGTGTCTTGCAAGATGCCTACAGCCAGGATGGAAAAATGTTCTCTAAAGAGCAAAGACTGACATGTTGCACCCAATCCATTGCAATTCTGTCAGGATATTAAAGGCTGCTCTGCTGTTTTTCTAACTAAAACAGCATCCAAGTACTTTCAAAGTGGGAAAAAATCTATTTGCCATTTAAGTACAAAGGTAGAAGATTAGCATAAGTCTCCACAAGTGGCACACACAGTTCAGTCTCCACTGGTTTCTTTTACATGTTGCTCCCTCCCCATGAGGCAGGAGCGCTCCCAGGATCAGACTCACAGCTGGCAGGAATCACTGCAGCTCAAAAGAGCCACAAAACCAGAATGCACCACTCAACTTCAACTGCCTTCTCAGGTCAGGTCTAAATAGTGACTATGAATTATTGTTTATAGAAGAAATCAGACAATCAAGCTGCTCTTCAGTGCAAAATTACAACAAATTTCTTTATCCTGGTTTTTGTTGAACATCACAGGAACACTGCACCATCCCATTGAGCTTTTCAGAAACCTGAGTTAAACTGCTGTGTGAGAGAAATTACAGGAAAAGCCCAGTAATTGCAAAGCCTAATTACAAGGTAATGTGGTGCTCATGAGCAGAACTGCTGAACAATTAGGGACCAGAATAACGAGCAGACCACCTGTCAGCTGGGAGAGGGCTGAAGGAAGGCTGGCACAGGACACTCCTGACAGGCTCTGGAGGGGATATGAAAACAAGGAAATGGTCAAATACTACATTTAAGATACACAGTATGAAAAAAGCCACTGATTGGAGCTCATATGCTTGTTAAGTGTATGGACAATATAATTGTAGTTGTACAGGAAAGGGAAGTTCAGTGCAGTATGTGAGACATGGAGGGATGAGAACAGTGCAGGAGGGGCGGGATGAATGGGACTGAAACAGGAACACAGCTCAGATGGACTGCTGGATAGGGGGGTGCCAATTAATCACCAAAAGAACCCCAAATTTCCTGTACTTCTCTGCTTTACACCTACTGTAGTGTAACACAAATGCTGCGCTGTCCTGAAAAATGAAACCTTCACAGTAAAGTCAGCTTTTACTCACACTGCAGGGAAAAACTGACCAATAGCAGTCCCTGGAAGTGGATCTAGAAATAAACTGTGGAGCACTCCATTCTAGTCACAGAATCACAGAATAGCCCAGGTTAGAAGAGATCCAAAGATCATCCAGTTCCAGTCCCCTGCCATGGGCAGGGACACCTTCCACTATCCCAGGTTGCTCCAAGCCCCATCCAGCCTGGCCTTGGACACTTCCAGGGATGGGGCATCCACAGCTTCTCTGGGCAACCTGTGCCAGGGCCTCACCAGCCTCCCAGTAAAGATTTTATTCTCAATATCTTGTCTAAACCTTCTCTCAGTCAGTTTGAAGCCATTCCCCCTTGGCCCGTCACTATGTGCTCTATGAATACACCGCTCCACTCCGGATCACTCTGAACAGAGCCAAAGACAACAGAGGTCAGGACAGTAGAAGACAAAGAGTATTCTTTCCTCTCCCTATAAGAAGTGCAGGAAAATTCAAACTGAAATTTGAAATTACAGAGGCATCACAAAAATTGTAAAATGTTCAAATTTACAAAATTTTACAACTTTGTCATTCCTCACTTTGTGCAAGTAAATTTAATTGGAATTCCAATTTAAAAAAATGCAAATATATCCACAAATGAGCCACAAGTTGTGATTGGAAGCTGAGACAAAGCCTGTAATATTTACACTGAAAGTGTATTTATGTCAGCTTTGAGACTGGTTCTTTTCTTTTGTCCTAGGTCCTTTAAAATCAATAGAATAGAATGACACAAAGCTATTGATTAGAAATATGTTATTTTTCCACATGCCTGCTGAGAATCAAGAGAACACTAAAACATGAGCTCAACACATCAATTTTGTGGAACTTTCAGCATATTTTAAAGCGTGACCCTGAATATAAATATTTTATTTATTGAAATACTTGCTCTAAGACTTAATCTAGTTAAAGGAAAGATCTTCCTCATTCAGTGTTTGAATCAGCCCCTTGCTTACTGGGAAGCACACAGATACTTTAGTGACTGAATTATTTTGGGAGCAAATCCCTCAGATGATTCAAACACTCCTAAACATGCAACATTCTTCATCTCTGACCTCCAAGCTCCTCTCTTCTGCAATGATGTAAAGGGAAAGGAAGGAAACAGAGCTTTGATGAGCCAGGAGGACTGAATTTTGCAGAGCTCTAAATGGCTGTGATATTTTCCTGTATGATTAACAGGACAGGAAGGGGAAGAAGGACACACAACAGCTACCCATTTATTTTATATTTATATACTTCCATTTTAACTGTGTTGATCTCCACAAAGCATCAGTTAGGTTTGTAAGCAGTCATCCAATTTTAATATGCTATTTTCAAATATGCTTTTTTTTTTCTTTTGCTGGGGCATTCCAGCAATCTTGTTACACTAAGTTAATTAGTTTGGCTTTGGCATTTTTGGAGTCTTTCATTTGCATACTGAAAAACAAGAGGCCAATAATAACATGTGCTTAGGAATCTGGCTACTGGTCTTTCATCTTAATCACAATTTCACCACATAGCCAGCTAAAGAAAGCTATGAAAAATCCAACTATAATGCAAAAAAGCAATTAATGTTGTAAAATGGCTCTGGGTCCTTGGATGAGTGACACTGTAGATGAGCATCTTGCCCTAAAATGCAAAGTCACCCTTGGGTAAATCTGTAAGTCTTAATAAAATTTCTTTAGATGTACTAAAAACAGTGTCTGTGTTTATTCAAAGAATGGAGTAAGTAATCAAAAGAATGGAGTAAGTAATTTTAAAATTTCTGTGTATATTTTCACAATATGTCTTTAGTCTATTTTGTCTCTTACAGAAACAATATTTTAGTAATTTCAGAAGCAAGACATCACTGGAGTAATTAAGGGTACATGAGAAGGCAGAGGTGGATTTTAAAACACTCAAAATCAGAATCCTAATCTTCATAAAAGTTTATATGACTTTAGTATTTGACCATAATTGAAAAAGCAAAGGAAATGCTGATTTTTCACAGCAGACTGCAGTTGTGGAAAAACAAGCCTGATGTCCACAAAAAGTGATACTCATCAGTGGGGGGATATTATACCAGCTCTATGGCAATACTTCATTCTCTGTTCTTGCAAAAGTTTAGTTAATTCATTATCATTCCCTCCACTATGGTCTATTTGCTATACTCTAACAAATAAAGAAAATATCAGTCTCAGTAAAACACCTTTTCCTTCATTAGGGCCATCAGGATATCTGTGCTAAAAGGAAAAGGATTCTGGACAAAAACCCCTGAACTGCAGAGCAGCTCACATTTCCATTATCACCATTCCCAGAAAGTGGCTGTGGGGAGCTCCATTCCCATGGAGAACTCAGCCTGGGAAAGAGCTCCTGCACTCTGCAGGTGTGTTTGTGAAGGTGTTTATTGTCTGCAACAGCTTTCCCTGTGCTTGAGCAGGTGGCAGAACCTGCAGCTGGGGAATGTGTTCATTCAGCACTACCCTTTAACACTCTCTCTTTTCATTGAAGGTATTAAAATTGTTCCCAATGGGTGCAGCAGACAAGGAAAGCTAAACAGAGGAAGGATTTGATCCAGTTCCCCATTAAATTCAAAAGAAAAGCTAATAACTTCCATGATAATAAGGCCTGGACTGGAAATCACATGAGCAGCACAGCACAAATCATTTTATTCTCAACAAAGCTTGTTCTGACTGCAGCAATTTCCAGGGAGAGCTGGAATCTACATCCCCCAAAGTAGCTCCACTCCAGCAAATCCAACATGCATTAATTCAAGCATTATTTGGTTTTCCCCTGACTGGAAAATGTAAGGCAGCAGAGAATAAAAAGAGCACATGGCTTGTGTGCAAGCCCCAGCCCAGCTGCTGCTGGAGCACTGTTTGCCTCTTGCTTAGCATTGCTTCTCCTCCCTGCCAGGAAAAAAACATATTTGTTGAGGGATTATAAACCTCCAGTTTTGTTTATGGTAAAATAATCACTGATGGTGCTCCAATCACTTCTTCCAACCATGTGTCACATCAATTACTGAGTTTTGGATGGTCTTGAAGAAAAAGGTTGCTGTTTTCCATGCTTATCTATGAACTTACTGGGAAGCCCTAGATAAAAAGTTAGAACTGTGGTGTTTGCATGTTTAACAGGAGGAAAACTGGATTGGGAATTTGAAGGTTGAAAAGTGGAATTTGAGGACATGATTCTGAGCAAACAGCTCTCACTGCTAGGGCTGGGAGTTGGACAAGATGATCTCCAGAGGTCCCTTCCAACCCCAACCAGTTCTTGATCCTGTCATTTCAGGAGCAACATAAAGAACTGGAGGAATTATGAAATACATAAAAGAAAAACAATGGTTAGGGAGCAAGGATGCAAAGCAAAGATGCTACAAAGTGCTCAAAACTCACCAGTTATCCATTTAGCCTCTGGGTCATGAATCTTAAAATCATCACTGAAGAGATCTTCCACTGTTATCTTCTTCTTCTGAGACAAGCTGTTATCTTCCACTGGAAAACATTCAGAAATAAACTACCATTAATTCAGGTTTGAAATGCATCTGAAAGCACAGAAACTGTGAATAGTGACATAGCTCATTTGGAAACAGTCCACATTAAGCTTTGGTCACACACAAATCTCTTCCCACTGTCAGTGGTATTAAAGGGGCACCTAATGGCTCATTAACAGAACCCTCCTTGCTATGTATGCCTGGTCTCAACAGCTACAAAAAGACCAAGAAATTGTCCAAAACACACATTTTCCACTATAACATGATCAAAAAAGAACCTAAGTCATGCAAACACCTACAGGTGTCATAGTGATACATAATGCCTACTATTTAATGGCTAAACCCTAAAATATTTCTGAAATTATGAGCTACAATTAAAAAAGCATTAAAAATGGCCCATTTATTACAGTTTGTATTTTTATGTCCTTAAAATTTTTAACATAAAACCATAACTGGAAAGGTTTAAATTTGTAAGGGCTCATGCAGATGCCTTCAGGAATTCACAAAAGATATTCCATGGGAATCAGACATTTGGTTTCAGAAATATTTTTGAAAAGTCTATGAGACATAACCCTTAATCTTTAGGTGTAGCATAGCTTGCCCACACTGATTTTAATTTTTAGTGAAAGAATATACAGTTTCATTTGTAGACATGGAAATATCAAAACTGAAAGTTTTAGAGAAAGCCAACAAATTTGAAAGCCCAACAATTTTGATTAATATGTTTCCTCTTTCCTTTTCTCCCATCAACTGTAATATTTTTTGTTTTGACAAGCAGTCACCCTCTATGAATAATTTGTTGTCAACATTCAATGTTTTGCTGAAATAATATTTTCATGGAAACCTTTCAGTCAGCTGTAAATACATTTGCTCTTTTAAAGAAAGGAGGAGGCCGCATTCTGAATATTTCCACAGCAGGAATGTGTTTCAGCATCTTTCCTCATGACAGTATCCTCATGCCTGAGGTTTATTGGCAGCCTTAGATATCTTTAATATTGTTTAGTGCTAAACTTACACGGAACATTTATGATTAGAGAAGTGGAAGCAGACCCTGAAGGCACTTATTTGTGGAAAAAAAACAGTCTTCTTAGCTGTACTAAATTGAAGCCCCTGAGATGACATAAAAATACCTGTGAACAGTGTTTTGTTCCACTAAAAGGTGTTTCAGAACAAACTTTCACTTTTAGCAAATTAAATTATATTCTTCAGTGTTCATATTTTTCCTTAGTCTGGCTGAGACTTCAACCACACTGTTCGCTGTGGCTTCCAAATTCCAGAACCCATTCACACAAGTCCTCAGCCAAATCCCTCTGTGTGACAGCGTCATGCCAAGTTGTTCTGCATCATTTTATTTATTAAAATGGAAAATATAGGTGACAAGGAACCCAGGAAATCGTTTCAATTAATTTCACTGTGATGAGAGTCCCCAGAAGTGGATACCCAGGGAGGTCAGGTGGGGCAGGAGCCCACACAGAGTTTTAAGTTTGTGCCTGTCCAGGAGATGCTTCCCAAATGCCCTCTGGAGGAGCATATGAGGGCAGAAGGACAGGCACAATCAAACCTCTGTGCTGGAGATTTGGGAAGAAGCAGGGTGGGAAGCCCTTCCTATTCCTCCTTTTTGTGCAGGATGGGGATCAGTTTGGGAGCTGCACCAGCTCTGTTCCTCCAGAGCACTCAGCTCTTTGTGAGGGACAGCAGGAACAGAGAGACCCAGCACCTGGACTGCGCACTTTAGGAACATTTCTGAGGAATGAGGTGAAATTCTGTCCCTGTCCCCTGCTTGGGCTGGAAGAGCTGCAAGAGGTCCTCTGCTGGACCATGGGCTACATTCATCTCAGCCACAGAGCTGGGGAGAACACAAATAAACTAAATAATAAATCCATCAATAAATTCCAGTAATAGAAAAATAAAAGATATTTACTGGCCTCTCCTCTAACAGACAGGTAGGTCAGAAGGCTTATTAAGAACATCTGCTCCATTCCTCTGGCCCTAATGGAGACATTTATGGAGGAAGAAATGCAATTGTGGGATCTCAGACACCCCACTCTGTCCTGAGCAGCAGATTCTAAGTGTGCCTCAGGGTGTCTCAACCAGCTGGTGGAGAGGCTGTGCTGTCCACACCCAGCTGCAGGGACCTGAAGGCCTCTTTGGGCTTATGGAAGGACAGGACTAAGCATGTGGCACTGTTTTTGTTTTACATTCACATCTCCCAGCCCAGCAAATCCAGATGGCAGCCCTGCAAGTGGCACAGGGACTTGGGATCTGAGTGCCAAGTCACAAACCCAGCATCCAAACTCCACAGCTACATGCTGAGAGAACCAAGCAGAAACCGTGTCTATATTGGTTTGGATTCATTGTTAGAGGCTGACAGGAGCCCTGTGTCTGTGTTCATCTGCCTGCTCTTCCTCCTTGCACCCAAACAAGCCTGGGCTGAAATGACATCCTGTGACTCTCCAGAACAAAGATCTTCCACAAATCCAGAAAACTCCAACAAAAAGGAGCAAGGAGCTGACCTCACTGCCTGTTTTTTCTTCTCTTTCAAGCTTTTTTCTCAACTCCAGCCACACTCAGAGGCTGCTGGATAGGTCAGAAGGCTGCAGCTGCCTTTGGGTGCCCGCCTTTCTTTCCATCACCCCGGTGCTCAGCCACAGGCTGGTGTTGGATGCTCTCCTCACACACCTTCTGGGCTGTTGTGCATTGCATGAGAGGGACAGTGCCTCCATCTCTCTGTGTCAGCACACTAGGAGCTCCATCCCCACCATCATGATACCTGCTTGATCCCTGGGCAGACCCAAGCCCTCTTTTCCCCTAGATGACCTCTCTGTACCCAAAAGGCAGTGGCCAGATGTCTTTGCAGGCCCCCAGCTGGGTAATAATTAGCATTGACTCCATCATTACAGAAGGCTGATCCATCACTTTATTACATTATACTTATTAGGAAACTCATCACCCTTACTGACAGTCATGATACAGGTGCACCCAATTGGTCCTTCAATCCAAACACCATCACCACTGGCTAATTAAGAAACCCCCCTTTGGTAAACAAATCTCCATAACACATTCCACATGTTCACAACAACAGGTGCAGCAAGTGAAGATAAGAATTGTTTATCATTCTTTTCTCTGGTCTTCTCACAACCTTTCCGAGGATGATGCCTGGGAAAGTTGTGCATTTCTCTCTGCGGCTAGAGAGCTACTGCCACACCAGACAAGGCAAACAGGCAGACTTTCTCCCCTCTGAAAAATCCCACCTGTTTGTACTGGTGTAAAATACACATTTATATATAACAAATTGCTCTCCTGCACAGCTGGTCAAAGGATAGTTCCTTGCCTTGAGTATCACAAGAGCTAAAAAGCCTTCTAGGTAATGCCTTTGACTGTCAGACAGAATGTTGTGAATTAATGCTATGCAATGACTAGCTCAGTAACACTTCTGAGAAATAGTTCTTATGGATTTTTCAAAAATTTTAATATGGATTAGGGTGTAATTTTTTTTTCAGTTAAAAGGTCAGATTTGAAAGGAGCAAATGTGATATATATCTCCAGAAAGCTTTAAATATCAGGAACAGATGTATGAGAAATCAGCCTCTTCCTAAGCACAATGTCTAATGGAATTTGGGAAGGCCCTATTTTACTCAAAATTTCTGTAGGGCTGGGTCTTTTTTTCAGCTTTTCTCTGTGTGTGTGTGCATGGTCAGACTTCTGGAAAGTTATACATGTTCTACATCTTTATATAAATACACGAACAATGGAATGGGACCTGCACGGGTGCCACATGCTGTGACAAGTGAGGAGCTGTCAGTTAGGAAAGCCTCAGGACAGCACTGTCATCATTTGTATAAATGGTTTAACATTTTTCAAAGGTGGGTGAAATGGCAGGACTCACACACCATGAAATTGGAGAAGTTCAGCCCAGGCATTGGTGTATGTGTGTTGTTCTATAGTGTAATTAAATGTAAACTTCCACCTTTTATATAGATAAAATTATAGTGTAATTAAATGTGAACTTCCACCACTTTGGATCCATAATAAAAACAGGAGCAGTACTGAGCTCAGAGTTTTTGTGAGTGCATACAAGACACAATTCTGAAACATCAACAGGGGAAAAAATAACCCAAGCCCAGCTTACCAGCACATCAGGTAATCAGAAATCTCAAAAAACATGAATGGAAATTCCAGCAAAGAAAATTACTTTGCATATTTCTAAGTTTTAAGCACAGAGACCCTCTCAATATCTGGAGGTGTTGCTGGGTACATAATAAAAACTGTGATTTATATGTATGCATGTGTGCACACACACCCCAAAGGGAGAATGTCTTTGTCCATGCATATAAAAATATATTAAAAAATACACTTATGAATTTTGTTTATAACTGAATGTGAATATTTCAAGAAGGAGAAGAAGAAGGAGGCCCCTGGAAGCTATAGGCCTGTTAATGACATTTCAGTGCCTGGAAAAGTTATGGAGAAGATTATTCTGGGAGGTATTGAAAGACACCTAAAATAGAATTCAGAATTCAGCCAGCAAAGCCTCATGAGGGCAGAGTCATGCTCATCAAACCTGATTTCATATCATGACAGGGATGGATCAAGGGATTCCCATATTGCTGATTAAGGGAAGCCAGTAGATTTAAGGATTTTGGTGGAAGTGACACCCATAGTCCCACCCAGGCAGTGCTTTAGCTTCAAGAGGACTTGTTGAGGCTCAGGGTATGGACTGTGTAATCAAGGCTTTCCTGTACATCTTTGAAAAGTCTGTGCTTCTGTAAAACTGCAGGCAACATGTGCATACCTAATAAATTGTGCCTGATGTGAGTGTAGTCCACACACCACACTCCAAAATATCTCAAGGATGAACTGCACTGTCTAAAGATGTTGAATCTGAGCAACAGCAAAATGAATTTAATAAATGATCTTTAATGAAGTTTTACCTTAATTAATTTAATTACATAATTACACTGGTATGACCACATGGAACTTAAATTTGCGTTGAAAACTTCAGGATAACACAAAATAAACTGAATTTGGCATGACAATAAATAACTGAAAAAACAATGCAAGTGATTTCTTCACTCATTTTCAAATTAACTCAATGCACTCCTGTATTTCTTGGTTTGTCCCTCTCTCCAGTTCCTCACACAGCAGGACTGTGGGATGAGAATTTTGTCAGGGAAGATGGCCTAGGCCTGCTGGACTGAATGTATTTTGCATGTAATGAGCTGGAAATATTTTGCCCCACAATTTCTGTCTCATTTTTCCACTTCCCTACCCTGTGCTCTTCCACTTCCTGAGGTTTCATTTCTCTTGCCTCCATTCTGCTCCTCAGCTCTGTGCTCTCTCTCCTACCACTCACATGCACTCATCCAAGAAGGAGTCCCTGTTCTTCTCATCTACATCCCTAAGCAAGGGACCTTTGCCTCCCCCTGGGTTTTGTAGCTCCTCACTCCTTCTGACACTGAATTCTTTTTTCTGTGTCTTGTCTCTCATTTTGTTTGTCTTTTCATATTCAGTTCACAATCTTGTCAGTGCTGCAAAAGCGCTTTATTTCTACTCCCTAAGTAGGCATGGAAATTTTCAGAGCTGTATAAATGCATAGTAATCAATAATCATAATGACACCACATTAAAATTCAAGCCTACATTGTCAGCAGCTACTGTAAGAGAAGTAATTTACAGAGGTTACACACACAGAACTTTGCTGGAACTTGGTAAGGGGATTAACTAAAAGAATTCCTTATTGGGAAGTTACTAATTATTTGCTGTGGATAAGTACAATCTGGTATATCATTATCTGCAATTGCCTTGTAAACACTCTGGTCTGAACTAAAAATCAATGCAACTGAATGGGATGGGATTTACGTGCCAAGGCACCCAATGCCATTTCCAATGGTCGAAGATATGACAATCAAGAGGCAACTACTGCTCCATGTGGACATGAATTTCAGGAGTTCCTGTGCCCTCACTGACTGCCCCTTGTGGGTTCCTCTCCTACCTGCACATCTAAAATGACATTACCCACCCATGTTAAGGCAATCAAGTTCCAGGGTTGTGCCCTCAGGTCAGCATCCCTGATTTCTGAACTGAAATGTCAAACTCTAAAACAATCTCCCTAAGAATAGCCTTGAACTCAGCATCACACGGAGATAAAGTGAGGAAGGAAGGAGAATTCCTTTGATGTAGACTTTGCAGTTAGTTTGCAATCCCTTTACTCTTGGAAGTGTAAAATTACAGAAGAAAACCAGAGTGGAAGTGAGTTAAAGGTTATAAATACCTGGTGTCAGGAGTATGACAGAGGTGACAATCAGCGAGCAGATAACGAGAATAACAAGTAAGGCAATTGCAATTCCTTTCCAGTTTCTTTGAGGAGGATTACTCCCCACCAGCTCCTAGAAACATCAAAAGAAGATGAACATTTAGAAAAGGGCACTTCGACAAGGAAACAAGCACAGAATCCAGACAGCAATGTCTGCAGAACTACACCCTGTGACCACAGTGGGTGACGCCCTCAAGCCAAACACAGTTCAGGCTGTTATAATTCATGGTGCCATTAATTGAATTCATCCCAAATAATTATACAGCAAATAAATGCAATGCACCCACAGGTGGCTCACAGTGGAACCCACACTCCCCATTACCTCCTGGCACACGGACACCAGCCCCCATCCCAGCACTCATCCAAACTCACTCATCAACGCCGATTTCCTACCAGCCCTCATTAAGTCTGGGAATGAGGAGCTTTACAGTAACCTTCAAGAGACTTTCATAATAAGATGTCAGAGAAGCATACAGGAAGATAAATAATTCACAGGGGCATGCATAGAGATAAAAATCAATAAGGATATCCCCCTGGTGAACTTTCCTGCCTTCCCAGAAAACATGACATCTCCTCAGGGCATACTGCGTGCACTCCTAGGTTGGTCGGTCTGAGGAATTGAAGACAAGCTTCTTGTCTAGCATATACATTAAGTTTAATCACATCCTTAAAACTTCAGAATAAAAGCTCCATCACCACTCAGTGATTAGCTCTGACTGCACTGTGGTTGCACCATATGTTCTGCCTCTGATGTACACAGCAGCCCTGCTCTCAGGACTGAGGTTTTTATGAAGTGCTGTGTTCGCATTCTCAAGATCTTAAAAATTTATTCCACTTTCATGTGTTTTGCTGGATTCCTCTTAGCATTTTGCACTATATGTGGTTTCATGCATGCATTGAAGCACCCACAGGAGCTGTATGAAATATTAGTGCACTCAGCTGTTCTGGGAGGCTGAATTCACTCAAGGGATCTGGTCACAGCCAGAAGAACTCTGGATGCTCCTCCTCCTTGTGAAACTCATCTATTTCATTTTTTTTGCCTCATTTCCTTTATTATGAGGGATGGTGTGTCTAAAACAGAGCTGCTGGTACTTCTTTAAAAGACTATTTTCTTTCCATTTTAAATTTTTTATGAAAACAAAAAGCTTTCTAGTAGACTCAGCTCTTCTGTTATTCAGAGTTTGCATTACTTCTGCTTCTTATACACAGCAACAACACTGGAAGAGAGAAGTCAGGCAAACCTCACAGTTTTGTTTTCAGAAGATGCTGGGAAATATTTATTTTTACCTTTCCCTAGAATTAATTTTACAGAAAAAAAATAATGCCTATAATCACTTTCTATATGTTTGGGGACCTAGCCACTACAAAAGCTATAAATCTGCAATGGAAAGCCAAGTTTGAGGCATTAAACACCTGATGCACTCCATCATCTATTCTAATTCAGGAAACGACACGAGGCTTCTCTTCCTTCTGGAGAAGAGGGGTAGAGGTGAGAACAGCCTCCTTTCCTTGTCTTTCCCTTGTTTGTACATGTCTTAGTATTTGAAATGAAAAATAATTAGAAGGAACAAGTTTGTAGTTACTGTTGTTACTAGAGAAAAATTTGAAAAGTAGGTCAGGAGCTTTGAGAACTGCAATTTTGGCATCAAGCAAGCAGAAGAAATACTTCCATTCCTACAGATTCTTTACACTAAATATGAATACAAATGTTAATCAATTTAGTCTTCTAATGCCATTTTTAGGAAACTGCTATGATCTCCAATTTTCAGGTGATGCAAAAAGGCACAAGAGGCACAAAAGGCATAAAAGTCTGTGGCTTTCCAAGGGAAGGAAATTTATAAATAAGCCAGGGAAATAGTGCAGGGTTTCTCAGATAGTGGCAGAAATATTCTTTCTTTCACATCAAAGTACATGGGTGGTCTAGAGAGAAATGGGAGAACTGTGGAGAAGCAGGTGAGAAATCCAACCGAGCCCTCAGAGTGTCTTGGGACAGAGGTAAAACAATGACAACGTTACAGAACTGATGGCAACAGTCACAGTCCTGAAAATAATCTAACACTGTCACCACAAATGGTCAGAAGTTTTAAAAATGAAGAAAAAATTACCTCATGGACTTGAATAACATCTACAAACCCAGATGTGGTTCAAGAGCTTAATAACACCTTGCATGAAGTGCGATTTTCCCATCCATGAGTCCCAGTGTGATAGAAATACACACACACACTTGAGTGTTCAGGGCAGCTGTACTTGCACTGAATTCATTATCAAGTCAATCCCATTAATTCTCCAGGCATTCAATCAATATTTGAGCAAAATCTCAACAAAAAAAAAGACTGAATTTCTAGAGTACCAAGAGAACGAAAACTACTCATAAGCAAAATATTGGGGTTTAATACACTGCAAAGAAATAGGAAAGAACATGTTCAATTTCTTTTCAAAATTCTGTCAGGAAATTTCCCCTGGTAAAAAGCAAGGAGAGATAAATGACTTTTCAAAGAAAGACAAACAGCTTTATTCAGCACAGGTTTGGAAAGCTGCTCTTTTGTTCTCAGTCATTTGAAGTCTCTTTAGATGGAATCACTTACAGCAAAACTGCAGACACGTCACACCATATTCATGATGGCCACCTCAGATTATTCCTGTCTGTATTTCTGTTAATTCCAAAGGGATGTTGCTATGTCACTGTGACCCTGTTTTACCTCCAGGGGATTACAGGCCCACCAGCCTGTGATACCCCCTGGCCTTGGCAGCAAACCCTCACCCTTCACTGGGATTCCTCAGGGGAGCCTCTGCACTTGGGACTGAAGCCAGAAAACTCTTCAATTCAGCCCTGGGCAGGTACAGATTCAAGCACATAAATGATGTTTTTGAAGAGGCAGCTCAAAGGGTGCATTTCCAGCACAGAGCTCAGAGCTGGAGTTTGCCTGGTCCTGAAAGACCCAGCTTGCAGATAAGCATGAGATCTAAACTGACCAGCAAGCAGATGCCTTTGTGTTAATCCTAAAGATACCAAATTTGGGTTTCATACTGAAATCTGAGCATATGACACAAAGGGGAATAAACCGAGCACATGTGGTTTCTGCTCTGATGAAAAGAGCATGAAAGAAAACATTGAAGTCACTCATCAGTAGGAACTACCTCCTCTTTGCCTCACAGGAAGCACTAACACATCCTCCTGACCTCTGCAAACCAGCTAAAGCCCTTCAGCCTGTTTTGCTCCTTCTTTTCCTCTGCTGCTTGTTTTTCACCTCCTTCTTCCTATTACATGAAAACTAAATTGATTTTGGATTTGGAAATCGAACCAGATGTTTCCACAGGTTTTTACATAAGCACACTTCATTGATGCTGCATATTAAAACCTGCAAATGCTATCACTTACATATTCATTTGTGATTGAAAAACCTCACTAGCCACCTGTGAAGTTGATTTTGGAGCCATTAATCTAGACATCTATGGTATTTTAAGACTCTAAAACACAGATCCAAGGTGACATATTTTCCTGCCTGTGAAAGAATCACTGTGTTGACACGTTATGGATGAAGGCTGGATGTGCTCCAGCCCAAGATGCTGTCAACAAAATTATTCCTGGCATGTTTATTTGAAACCTGCCAAAAGCCTGCCAGCACAGTGGTCATATTACAATAATACAATGGCTTCTTAAAACAACTCATCAAGCACTTCTTTTTTCTTTTTTTAATAACCGTGTCTGTATGGCTGAAGGACAATATAGACATCACTTGTGAAGCATAGGTATTATTTAATAAAACTAATACATTCTGGACCAAAATCTTTGAAGTATTAGCAGTGAGACAGTCATGGTTGGCCTCTTAGTCTTTTTCAACACAGAGATGCCACGTTTGTGCAATAACAATAAATCCCAGGTACGTTATATGAAATACTATATGAAATAGATACATTCCAGATAAAGAGGCTGGATTTAGAGATTCCATGCAGAAGCAGGTGACACTGGGCCATGTAGACTGAGATCTGAACTCAGTTAAACTGGTGTAAATCTGAAGCAAAAGACAAAAGAAAATCCAAGAAATTAATGGTATGAAATAAAAGCAGGCACAAGATGTTTTGTTGGCCTCAGAGGTGGCACAATGAGGATTTATAATTTTTAATTATAATAATTAATAATAATTTTGTAGTTTCCATACTCACTACTCTTGCAAGATCTGTTTCTTGCTTATTTTTGATTTATTTCTAATTTTTGACCTTAAATATTACACTTATAAACACAGGAAAGAAAAATTCTTCTAACAAGCTTGTTAGCACTGTTAATTGAAAAATGTGTATTATACCTCTCACTCATGCCACCTGGCTCTGAATTAGGACTTCTGCCTGATGAAATGTGAGTGACTGTTGTTGTCAACAACTCAGTTTATCAAGTCCAGAACATGGCACAGAATAAAAATAAAATTTTGTCCAAGACAAAAAAACTCCTGTGAAGTTCAGTGGAAAAATAATCTTGTTGTTAATTAGTTCTTTATAATACAAAATTGCAGCAAATTATACCTGCTGAATAGTACTACAAATGAGCTGAGGAGTGGGTAACCCATACAGTTATTAGATTATTAACCTTATGTTGCAAAAATGAAACACTAGTTGCAATGATAATGGCAGTAAACTAAATGAATTGCAGTGGCTACAGCAGGAGGTTCACTGAGACTCCTGGTTATTCTGCTGATTGATACTGCATTACTGTCTCATCACAATCCTCCTGCCTGAATCCTCCCCTACCCTAAACATAGGATGGAGGTTTTTCATGGGCAGGAATCATTTTTGATACCCTGCTTGGCACAGAGGGAACCTCAGTCACTACTGAATTTAGGAAGTATCACAACACAGATAAACAATAATAAGCATGTGACTGCATCCTTCTCACCTCTGAAGTCAAGCTGCGTTACTCTCGCTTGGGGATATTTTATTTCCTTTCCTTTCCTTCCCTTCTCCTCCCTCCTTGCCTCCCTCCTCTCTGCTGCTGCAGACCACCCTGGGCCTGGGTGTGATGCAGAATAACAACCAGGCTCCAGACAGACACAGAGACTGAGCCCCAGGCTACAGAAACTC